CTCAACAGGAAGAAGCTTTTGGCATCGTAAAGAGAAGCTGGACTGTTTAGCGGGGGTAAAACTGCTTTAACCAAAATCTTAAAAGATATTGGTTTTTCGTAAAAAAAGCAGACAAAAGAAAAATTTTATTAGAACGATACGACATAATTTTAAAACGGATAAGTTTTTTGAGAGAAGCAAAAAATATTGATAACTAGGATAATGTCGTGTTCATTGACGAGACATGGCTAAACGCCAATCACACGGTTTCCCGTTCTTGGACGGATGATACACAAGCGTCGACGTCGAAAGTACCAATGGGTAAGGAGGCCCGTCTGATAATATGCCACGCAGGTTCTGCAAAATACGGCTTTGTGAAGAACGCGTTACTGGCATTTCAATCAAAAACCACAAATGACTACCACGAGGAAATGAATGCCACTACATTTAAAGAGTGATTCCAGAACGTGCTTTTGCCCAGCCTACCAGAGCCTTTTGTAATATACATGGATAATGCCTTCTATCACTCGGTCCAAATACAGAAACCACCTACCCAAGCTAATAAAAAAGAAGAAATGGTGGCTTGGTTACAAGCAAAAGGCATTGACGCAAATATGCAGATGCTAAAACCAGAGCTAATTAAATTAGTTAAAGAAAATAAAGCGGCAAATGTGCGATACGAAATCGATGAACTGGCTCTGGAGTACGGTCATCGCGTTCTAAGAATTCCACCGTATCATTGCCAATATAACGCCATTGAGCTAATCTGGGCTCAAATAAAAGGTTACGCCGCCCGCCACAATACTTCCCCGCCATTCAGCACGAAAAAGATGATGACCCTATTAAAAGAAGCCTGTGGGGAAGTCACAAGAGATGACTGGGCAAAGGTTGTTGAGAAGACTAAAAACCTGATTGTGGAACATATTGACCGAGATATCAGGATTGATTCTGTTATTGATAATAATATAATTATACATGTAGGCGAAGATGATGATGAAGACACCACCTCCTCAAGCGAATCGGAGTCTGATTAATATTCTGTATGCACATTCAATTCAATGTACTTTATTGCATAGACATACAGATTGTAACTTTGTAACAAAGAATAAATAAAACAATTTTATTATATTAATATTACCTTTTTTTGCTTTCCACTTAAATTACTAAAATGTAAATTTTAAATGATTCCGCCAATTTAAAACGAAAATAATCTTAAAAATAACGCGGCGGTTCATTTTGGAGGAACGGTAACGAACTCAGTGTTATGTTGTGCCCATCACTAGTCGTGACTAACTGATAGGTGTCAGGAACGCATTCTCTGAACGGCCGAACTTGAAGGCCGAAGCGATGATGGGTTATTTACTATTCATCCAATATTGAGTTAAAATAAAGGTTTAACATAGTTTTTAATCGGGAAGAGAAGAGCAACCAAGATTTGCATCGTCGGAGGCGTTGTTGCTAAATCGATAAAAATTATTTTAATTAAGGCTTCTTTATAACCGATATTTGTAAGAGCCACTGCCTGTTATTTGCGTCCTATCCGACCGAACATGAGCTTATTTCTTGCGTGCCGACTTGTGCCGAGCTGTCATTCAAAATCAGTTACAGAGTCATGACATCCTATCCTATCTTGCATTCTGTATTCGTTTCTATTTTGCATTTTTGTCATTATGAATTTTCTTCTCTCTTGCAGGCTATGTCGGTCTATACGCCAGTATAATCTATGGTTTTTACTATGCTAATAGGCAGTGAGCGCTACGCACGCTCTATACAGTGTGACAATATGTGGCAGGTTCCTGCCATTTTGGCAGGATTGGCCTCTTATTTTAGTTTCTGGCGTGGTCGGTTGACGTTATATAAAACCTGGCAGTATTGGGGTATTAAGTACAGATTTCAGTATGGCAACTTAAAATGCCGAAAATGGCAACCCTGGGTACTTTGCCAACATGTGGGGATTTTTCCTATACTTCTAGTGTTATGTTTGTATTACATTCAATAAACAACTTTAAGAGTTAATAATCTTAAAACGAGTATTCATAAACACGAGTTTATGGTTAATAATTAATATTACAATTAGTCATAGAAGCGACGTACTTTAGTTTGGTATTATTGTTGTAGCACGAATGGGTTGGCTCGACCGGGGCAGGACCACTCTATCAGAGAATACCAGCGTGAAATAGCTGCTTAATGTTGCTGTGTTTCGTATCGTGAGTGTAAAGAACCGGATACCCTTTTACTGGAAATGAGACATTCCATCTTACTCCTCAGTCACAAGGAAGTTCTGCGAGGAAGAAAACATCTTCTAAATCTCAAGGGGTGGACCGCCAATCATCCAGGTTGTATGGATGGTATTGCAAGTTTTGTCGCGTTGTGGAATGATGAAATGGAGCGGCTGGAATTAGTCCGAACAATTCCTCAGAGCACTCACCGTGGTAAATGCGATAAAATACGCAAAGAGATGCAACATACGCAGTGCCAGTGTATCGAACCGATCAGAAAGAACTCGGTTGTCGACGATTCTAACCGCTCTACGCTGGATGCGGTCAAGTGGAAGGAGCTGGCACTGGGGTGCCCCAACCCAGAGATGATAACAGTATTCCATGTGAGGCCGGATTTGTGCTTTGTAAAGTTTCAAGCGATGTGCCGGCATGAAATACCGTCTCACTCTGTTGAGCACGCCAAGTTTTTTAGAGGCCAATTTGGTCTTCCCTTCCAAGTGACCACGAAACTGCACACTATTCGATATGTCGGCGCCGACGATTCTGATACTAGCTCAGGCAGCAAGGGAAGTGTCTTGAAACTGAGAAGATACTATAAAGGTGTTCTTTTTAGCGGTAAACGCGCAAACTTGTGTCTTCTGGGTATTGAACTGGTCTAGATTTAGTCGCCCCCAATCCGAAACTTTGTTCAGCAAAGACACGACTTCAGACACAAGTTTGGCCCGGTACTTGGCGACGTTTTCTCGAGAAATATTGGCACGGCCGGTATATGAGGCATCACCAGTGCTGTCGTCTGCATAGCAAAGAATGTTACTAGTTTTAAACATATCATTGATATGCAAGAGAAATAGCATTGGTGATAGCACGCAGCCTTGTGGAACACCAGCGTTGATAGGCTGGAAATCAGAGCATGCACCGTCTACTACGACCTTGATGCTTCGATCAGCAAGGAAACTTGTGATCCATTTGCACAATTTCTCGGGAAGCCCATAGGAAGGAAGCTTCGATAGAAACGCTTTGTGCCAGACCCGATTGAAGACCTTCGCTATGTCCAAACTAACGGCCAATGCCTCCCCCTTGGACTCTACTGCCTCCACCCATCTATGAGTCAAGTAGACCAGAAGATCACCAGCTGATCGACCCTGACGAAAACCGTACTGGCGTTCACTAATCAGCTGGTGATCTTTAAGGTACCTCATGAGCAGCTTATAATGGATTCCATTATTTTGGAGAACAAGGAGGTTATGGCGATAGGCCTGTAGTTGGACGGGTCTGAGCGGTCGCCATTTTTACGGATCGGGTGGACCAAAGCTGTCTTCCATCAATTCGGGACTACGCCTTAGGAGTAGGAGTTCCGGAAAAGACGCGTTAGAACCGGTGCCAACTCCGGAGCACATGTCTTCAGCATAATGAGAGAGACTCCATCAGCCCCACTTGCTGACGTCCAGGGAGAAGAGTGCTTTACGAATCGAGCGCTGTGTAAATCGCACATCCGGCATGGAGCACTAACACCGCGCGATGGTCGGCGGTGTATTCCCCCGTCATCTATAGTCGAGTTGGACGCAAAGAGAGAGAGCTTAAAAGATCAGCTTTCTACTTTGCGGCATACATATAGGCCAGTGAGTCGTCCTCTCTGTGTAGAGATGGAAGAGATGGCTTACAGAAGTTTCCTTGGACAGCCTTGGCGAGAGACCAGAATGCACGGGTTCCCGAAGGAAGGTGAACTAGGTTCTCGCCAATTCTGCCGATGTGCTCAGACCTTGCCTTGGCAATGACGTTTTTGAAGGACCTGGAGGCGGAATTATACTTCTTTTTAAGTGCGCTGGTGTTTACGTCCTGAGACGTTGATGCGTCAGCCCAGGCCCGTAGCACTCCTGCTTATAGCGTGATGCTATTTTACAGGAGCGACCAAACCATGGCTGGGATCGTTTTCGAACAATTAAAAAAGGTACATAACGAATTCCAACCTTAATAAAACTAATTATAACGTCATTAGAAACTTATTTCCACTAACATATCCAAAATTTAGTAAAACCAGAAGTCCAAAATAATCCTGCGTATATAGAAGGTATTGATAGTTTTCGAATTAGGGGGCAAATACGGGTTAGATAATGGTTTGAAGTGGATTTTGATAAGTAAAAGTGGTGCGATTTTGTGTATTAAATGTCTGCGCATGTGAACTATTAGTGGAAACGGAGAAACAAGTGCTCTGATGGTGATGTGATTTTCAAGATAAAGTCTGTCTGCTTAGGCGCCTTGAGATACCATCGGCAACTTCAGCTTTCTGCTGGCTCAAGTTGCCGTCAAAATCTCCTAAGGGCTGCACAATGTGACGCATCAACATATTGTGAAGTAGTGTACTATGAAGGATAATACATTGTAACTGCAGGTTCAGAAGGGCTAAATCCCAGGGCCGTAAAGCATGTTATTAAGAAAAATAGCTTAAAGGACAAGCATCCAAACCAAAAATCTTTCATCTTTTTACTAATGAATTATTTTTTGTTTTTTGTACTCATTTCCATAGATAAATATATATCACAAACTATATAGAAACGGGTATTAGTGTTCTGTGATAGAAACACTAATATATATTATATATGTAGCAAGCTCAAGGTATTATATTAGTGCCCGCCTAAGGGTATTAGTGTTCTGTGAGCAAGCTACTCATTTCACAAATTATAAAGTTGTATGTACAATGTACAAGAACTCATTTCATTTGAAATTTTGAAAGTGAAACTATTTTACGTTTGTACGTGCATCGACACAAAGACTAATATATAATACTGGAGAAATTGACAAAAAATGGATAAAAATAACACATTATTAAAATTATATGCTGCATATAAAAGATGGGTTATCAATAATCCCGGAATTGTTACTGACGTCGAGACTGTTGCGACTTGGTCGTCATACTTTATTGCAGGAAAAATAAACAAATCACCGATTGTGTCAGAGCTGGTATACTCAGTTTCAAAGCTTGTTTCGTTGTTTAACGATCGGTTGATAAAAGACGCCTATGATAGTGAAATTCCTTACTATGGATTAAGAGAACAGGTTAAGCTTTGGTTGACGGTAATTCATTACTGTGAGGTATTTATAGAGCTGGTTGTAAAAAACAAATGGGGTAGCCGTGGGAAATGGACAGCAGCTACATTACTACAAGTTTTTAAATGCTCGTCTGCCTTAATTCTTTTATACCGATTTAAGGAACTACCCATACAACACCCACCAATACTTGCTTTGCAAAGGAAAAAGTTTATGGAAGGTAAAGATACTGATGAAAATACAAATGCCTTTTTTACTCTTCGAAGGTCTGGTCGTATTATTCGACGTATCGATGGTGCACCCCCTGTTGCATTACGTGATTGGCAACCTATTAAAATCAAAGAAGACAAAATGAATATAAACAGTGAAATAAATGACTTAGTCCATGCCGAGTTAATACACATTCTGAAACCATTGATTCATCTTGCAGCTATGAGATTATTTGGTACTAAGGCATGGAAGCAATGGCTTATTGCATTAGGTCTAGATTTAGCGAGCTTGAAACTATATAATCGTCACATTAAGGAGTTGTCTTATGAACAAAGGTTGGAAATCAGTCGTAGGAAATTATCTCTGATACTTTATTTATTAAGAAGTCCTATGTATAATGGTTATTCTAAAAGTGTGATTGAAAATGTTCTTACTTCTGCATCAAATAAAATATCACTAATTTCATTTATCTGCAATCCTGTAATCCAGTATTTAAGTCATTGGCAAGATATTTACTTTTATATGTGGGCATCATAAAGTTCTATAACAAAGTGCATAATTTGTACACATTTGAAACTACCATAAAATTTTACATGACCAACATATTTTTTGTTATTGGGCGTGGTTAGGATAAAAATATTATTATGTTGCTGTATTTGTTATGAGTGCTATCTTTCTTATATAAAATTTTTATTAAACTTACATTTTGCACTTAGCCTTGCTATTATATCTCCACTGGTATGCTGTATGTTAGACGTATGCCATGTTACTAATGTTACAAAATGAGAGGTATTATTATACCAGAAGTACAATTTAAACCTTAATTTTTATTATAAGTGTTCTTAAAGAAAGCATTGCCTTTCTATATTTTGTATGTATGAATGACAATCAATATTTTTAGGTTTTCTTTTTATAGAGTAATGCCCAAATACTGGAATGCTGCTCAATTTTAAGATGCTGTTAAGTCTCGTGATTTCTCTATTACTTTAAATCAAAGTGATTGTGACACAACGAGACTTAAAAATGTCTTATAATTGAGTAATGATTGAGTATTTGAGAATGACAAACAAGCAAACAGTCTATCTGATGGTAAGTGGATGCTGTGACCCATCTACGTTTATCCTTGATTATAAATAAAAATGAAGATGCATTAACACCCCTGACGACAAGAAGAAATGCCTCATCACCAAGAAAAAGAATCTTTAGTACTTGTCATATACAATATAAATGAAAAAAAATATTAAAACTGCATAAGCATAATATATTGATAATATTTTAATAAATCATATAAACTATCTCTAAATGTTTTTTTATCATTTTTATTTGTGTAATTAAGTATATAAGACAACTTTAAAAAAGCATTTGTTTTACATATTTTATTTTATTTAGAATTGATTTTTATGGATATACAATAAAGAAAAATTCTATGCTGAGTTTTGTTCTCCTTATATAATACTGCCTCCTGTAATTGTTGATTAGATTGGTGCTGATGAAAATTGAAATCGGACTGCTTATTATGAACTTTAAAACAGATGACCCAATGGATGAACCTCTTCTAGTCGTTAAATTGTCATCAGCGGTGGTTGTTTAAAATATAATTTTAAAGATATTAAATTAATTTAGTCAGTAAATTGTTAATAGTGTTTAATGATAAAGGAAAAAATCATAATATGACAGTGGAGTAATGACAACCATATTATAATTCTGATAGTTTATTTCCGTTAATATTGTCCAAGGTGATTACTGGAATTCCCAAAAATGGAATCCTTAGCTACTCTGAGAAAGATACAACAAAGGCATAACTTGGAAATAGCAATTTTACATGATGGAAAAGAACAGTTCACAGTCTCAATAATTATTTATTAATTCAGCCTAACTATCTTGCTGTACTTATTGTATTTCAAAAGGTAGCTAAAAATGTGGTCTCTACTCGTATAAATTCCGTATTATAGGATCATTCACGAACAAAGTCATATAATAATATGCCTTAATATTATGACTTTCTTCGCAATATAAACCTCAACCATAGAAAAATATTTAACATTTCAATACCATTTTACATTTTAAAAATTTGCAAGCTTTTGCATTTACAGCTTACTTGTACAGCCATTCCAGGGAAAGGGTTATGTTTAAACGGCACGTCATACGTTTTCCAAACACTTTCAGTCTTTAGGTTTTGTGTTTAAGAACCATTATTTTTATAACCAAAATAATTTGATTGGGTCATTTAATGATTTTTAATTTAGTAATAATTAAAGATTATGTAATCAGGGCACTATTTATAATGCCCGGGCAATATGAATAATGACAAGTCAAAAAGCCAGTCTGTGTAATTAATAGCTCCATTATTTATAACTGTTGGGCAATTTGATATAACCTAACTTAACCATTTTATTTTTTTTAAAAATGTGAAAAAAGGGAAAAACCACTTTGAACATCAAATAGCAGCAACGGGGTATTTCTTCCTTTGCGTTACAAAAAAAAAACCTTTCTGTCCATTGTACTAAAGTGTCGGAAATGTGACATAAAAAACCCAACCTATCTTTTGTACGCCCCATAACGTGAAGCTTTCAGTACATATAAAGCACAGAATACATGTATAAAGGTACTCTGTGTGTGAAGCGTTATTAGGTAGAGCATTACTCTCAACATGTCAAGGTCAAGCAATTTTGTATTAATTGCTTCTATCATAACCATATGCACATATACAATAATATTAGTAGCCGTATACCAAGAAAACACTCGAATTAATCCATTTTATATTTTCTCAAAAATTATTTAAAATTACTAATTTGAAAAAAAAAACAGTCGTGGACGTTCGAATGTTGACTTTGTATGTGGCCACAATAACTCCCGAAAAACTAGACGTATGTCGAGACCGGGCTTTTTTATTAGCTTCAGAATTACATCAACTGATTCCCTATTTCATATCAATAGCCTAGTACGCGTAGTTTGTTAATAAAATGATTATCAAATTTTATTGCTATTAAAGGCGCTTTCATATTTTTTAGCCCTTGAAAGACAAAGGACAAATACCCTATAGCCTATATCGATTTTATACTTTGTGTAATCGATTTATTTTGGTGAACATTGTTATTATTATTATTATTTCCCTGTAGGTGACACTACTTGATAAAATAATAGAGTGCTAAATTTTAAACACGTAAATAATATATTTTAAGTCAGAAATGCAATTTATGTTTTTCATCAAAATTAAAAAAAACGGTCATGAGGCGTGCACTTTATATATATATATATATATCGGCGGGAGATCATCTCCCCTTTTCCTTTCACGGCCACAGACTTTAGAACTTACATCTTTCTAAAAGGCCGGCGACGCATCTACAATTCCCCTGGTGTTGCGGTTGTTGATGGGCGGTGGTAGTCACTTACCATCAGGTGAGCCGCATGCTCGTTTGCCCCCTCTACTAAAAAAAAAAATATGCCTTTGACTCATTCACCTTAAATTTATTAGTATTCAAGTGAACCGAGTTTGGTGAGCGTAGAGAACCGGAGACCCTTTTTATTGGAAATGAGGCATTGCATCTTAGTCCTCACAGGTGACAATGAATCTGCATCTCGATTCCAAGTTATGTTATAGCGGCTATACCTACTTCAGAAGATTACGTTCGTTTGCCTGGCTGAGGTACCCTAAATCTGCAATTGGGGTGTACACTAATTCAATGTATTCACTATTCTCCTGTAGGAATCAAAGGTAGCCGTATCAGCCAAAGGCTTTTTTGGCTTTAGCACGGCACCCGTGTAACTTTAAAATACATTATGTATGAAAAATATTTTTGTTCCTATAGACAGCAACAGAAATTGTGAGTTCGTTCTTGAGTGGGTTCCTAATAGAAAATGATAAACTCATGTGGATAGGGTTTTTTTTTCATATCATGTTATCGAAAAATACTAAAGATACAAATCCAAAACTTTTTTGGCAAATAGTAACATTATAGGTACTATAACCCTTTGATTTCTCATAAAACTGGCTAACATTTGAAAAATCAGCCTGATCTCATCCATTCAGCATGGCCACTACAATCGGATGATTTTTTTTTAATATAACATGTATGCCTACAAATATTCGAATTTATTAGTTAAGACAAACGAGCATGCATGTGCATGTACATACGGTCAACAAAAGTTGCTCTTCTAAGTTAAAGCGAATCAAAAATAATGTACAATTACAATGGATGACAGTAAACAGGACGCATTGTATGTATTAAAAAAACGGAAGCATAACTAAAGTTAAATTATTTCTAGTTTATAAGTACTAAGTTTTACTAATTTTTCTGCTACAACCACTCTGGGCTATATTGCAGGCCTGTTATCACTTTTTTAATGATCATTAGTTTTACGTAACTGCACTTTGGTTTTACTACTTATGTAGTAGAATTCTTATCACACAGAAAAATTCCGACAGAAAGTTATAAATTAGTATAAAATATAAATTTAATAGGAGTTGTGAGCACAAACCAATGAATACTTTTTATAATGATTTTATTTATTTAATGCACATAATAAACAAAAGAATGCAATAAATTTATTCCTGATTTTTGAAAATAATACATTTTAGCCTTGAAACTAGATTTCAACTAGAAGCATTATCATAAAAGACAGGAATATTACAACGAAAGATAGTTACATTTTAGAAATATTAGATATTATGATGTATTTTATGATTATATTAAATTATCTAGACAACATTAAATTAAATTTGTACATACAAATGTTATACTTAATACAAAATTGCAGTTTCTAATATTAAATTGTTTTCTAACTACAGATTAACTGCCTTGCTGAGCATAGCTGTAAGTCATTTTAAGTAACAATAACCTATATTTATGAAACAGAAGTTATTGCAATTGATATAAATATATATGTACGTAAATTACTTAATGGTAATTCCATGATGGTTATGTCCTTCTGGCCGTCTAAGGCCACGGTAGCCACAGCTGGAGGCTATCAATTCTGCAGGAGATACTGCAGTGTCATAAATATAAACGATAAACTAGATGCCCTAACTTACTCTGTCCCATCTAAAATTCTACAAATAGACATGGTAGGTAGGGATTACGCGTAAAAGAATAATTTATGTTTTGCACAAATGTTAGTACCCCGTGTAGTGACGGGTAAGAATATCCACTAGCCATATCTTCCCGTTGGTGTCGTAAGAGGCGACAAAAGGAAACTGAGGTAGAAGATGGGCAGCAGCATCTTTATGATAACAGCAAAAACAATAAAAACTGCGGTTGCCAACCTGCTCGCCAAGTATGGCAACTATAGCAATATATCCACCATGACGAGAGTTACAAAAGGGTAGCCCCCAGTCTCCGGCAGCCCCGCTATTCGTGGCTACGGTGGCGACCATGGTAACGGCGGTGCAGGGGTGTTAAGAATTTCTGGTGGAGGTTCGGTTGCCATATAAGATGACTCAACCTGGCAACATAAAACGCAAGCATCCTGTGGACTAACGAGAAAATTCTGGAGTTGGAAGAAGAGATAAATAAGTTGCGCTGGGAATATAATATAATGCCCTTTTTACTGGCAAAGAGGCATTCCATCTTAGTCCTCACGAGTGACAACGCATCTGCATCTTGAGTCTTTATTGAGGATAGATGTAGATGTCTATGGGTCACAGTAACCACTTACCATCAGGTGGACTGTGTGCTCGTTTGTCACCGTATCCTTTAAAAAAATATTATAGAATTATCTGTGGTCTGAAGAGAGTGGGAGGATAAGGTAATCCTCGGATCCAGGAACTTGTTCTATCACCGGGAGGGCGACCATCTGTTCCAAGGAGGTGTCAGATTTATCGTCCACAAGTCTCTCGTTAACAACTTTGTTAAGATTGTGAGTGTGTCGACGAGGGTTGCGTACCTTATGACGGACCTTTTGAAATGCGGTCGGAGCTAAGTTCTGCAAGACTTGTTGTAGAAGAACACAGAAGCTCTCCGATCACACTCTTAATCTGTTGTACTTTGTGGCATTCCTTGGGGAAGGGCAATGTTCAGCAGTGGACTTGTGAAGGGCTGTAATGATAATGATGAAAAATGTTAGCGCCGTCTTTCCTTCGAACCCATGACTCGTGACTTAGTGTTCTGAGGGCTTATTCCCGAATTCAATGCGGTTTTCGGTTCAACATGAAGTTTTATCGAAACTGATTTTAAAAGCTTACTTCAAACAATTTTTATAATTGAAAATCATTATACAAAATAATCGGGAAACACGATCGCGTTACGATGATAGCCACATCCGGATAATTTTCAAGAGATCAGTTCTATAAATAAAAAAAATTACTTCTTAAATATTTTATTACATTAATAGGATAAACTGATCAAGGTAAAAGCTTTCTCGTCGCATGCGATTACGAGCGCCATCTAGTAGTGTTGCAGTGGGTTAGTGGGTTTCATCTCACAGTTGAAGACTTTCATTCGCGTATTTTCAATTTGAACCACCATTTGCTTGAGCACTAACTACGGTTTTGAGAGTTCGAAATTTGAATGATTTGGAATATACATAATTCAATTGATTCAGGACCCGAGTAGTCCAGCAGGTACTTAGAACACTAGGCCATACAGTAATCATTTCATTCATTCATTACAGCTTATCAAAGCCCACAACTTAACATAGGCTTGCCTCATAGATCGCAGGTTTTACACCCACATTTTATTATTATTTGAGTTATTATTGGCAAGATTCTGCTGCCTATAACCTGTTTAATTTCCCTTTGTCTACTGTTACGACACCCATAGGATGATATGGGGTACTGGACTGATATATTGAAATTTAATTAATATGATATTACTTTAAATAGATAATTTCCACAGATTTTTAACAATAGTTATATTTAGTATGACACGTTTTACCATAGAGCAACACGGGCCACCGGCGGAACGGAGGGGAGTAGCTCCAGCGTTTTATTATCCCTATACAAAACTGATATGAAAGGTAACGTCAATCTTTTTGTAAATTTGACGTGGCAGATCTTTGAGAGGGGAACGCCTGTGTATCTACTCCCCTGCGATCCGCTCGTGTTGCTCTTTGCGCTTTACATATCACTAAAACATCTAAATTATAAAATTATTGCAATGGAATGCACTTAAGTAAAATTATATGAATTTATATTAAAGTGTATTCATCATAGACACTTCACTTTAGTTAGCTATAAGACCATTAAAAATTATATTTTATATATAACCACAATGCAATATATAACCACTTTATTAGCTTCAATAATGTCTAAGTTATAAGAGAATGTGCCCGTGGCAGTTTTACGTTTTCTGCATTGCCTGCACATTTCAAAAAACACTTTTAGTAAGTTAATGAATTTTACATCACAATTGAGCTACATTATATTATATAAAGCAAAAAATAAAAAAGCTACATCAATATTGTACCTTTTTTAAATAGTATTCATCATCATCATCGTCATTAGACTTCCCGTCACAAGTCAGCATCCACCGACATTCTGTATGTCTTAGCAGGTTGTCTCTCGAGAACCTTCCTTAAACGACGACGAGGTCTACAATTACTAATTATAATATAATTTAATCCATTCACATATTATACTATATAGAATTTACAAAACTTATTTGAGGTTGGCGTCGTATTTTGTGAGACGTTGACTTAAGTCGTATCATAGACCAACAAATATATTTTAAAACATTTCAAGTGATGCAAAAAGCAAGCCAAAACCATGTAGGATTGGAAGAATACGCACTCGTATACACATGTGCTTTTGAAATAATTTTCAACCAACAACATGGTTTTCGGTACATATGTGTGTCCAGCAATGAACTTTTACAGGCTGATAAAGAAACATGAAAGATGTGTACGTGAATGCATAAAGAAGTTGAGCAATAGTTTCGAAGTGTACGCAGCGCTCTGTCTATTTTTTTTTGTAGGCCATTTGGTTCAAGTGCATGGAATATCGACTACAAAGAGGTGAAGGCCTGCAGACCACCTGGTTGTCCTATTGTGTAAAGCAGGAGGCATTAACGCATGTAATTCCCGCGCATACTCTCCGAAATTTATCTTATAGAAAACAAAGAGACTAGTACTGTGCGAATATGTTCGAGGCGGACAGGATTTGTATTATTTTATATAAATGGATTTTTTAATGAACTATTTATTTTTAATTTATATATGGCTTTTTTAATTATTTAATTATTTTAAACCCTAAGAATATAATAAAAATAAGGGAAGGTTTAAGGTTCTAAAAAATAAAGATCAGTCCTGTTTTGGAGGGGAAACAATGATGCTACTGGTGAACTAGAAACTCTTTCTGAAGGCAAAAAAAAATTAATCAGAAATAAAATTAAAAAAATATATCTTCAAGTCGATGGATGCAGGTACGTCAGGACTGTGCTAAATACTTTGTGGCAAACTATGTGTAGCAGTGTGCTTATAAAGGGTTATAGTGATGATAATAATGATGTTGATTAGTAAAAATTACTAAGTCCCCTGGCGACTGATATATTGTTAAAATGGACCATAAAGTATTAAAGAGAGTTTCTTGCCGGTTCTTCTCTGAGAAGGTGTTGTTTTCAGAACTGGTGTAGATTATAGGCAAGCCTAAATTGAATTAAAAGTTTTGACTTGGATTATTTCACCAAATAGATAACATAACCTGTCGGAACTGCAGTTGACTCTGTTAACTGTCTAGGTTGGTCGATAGGGCACGACGCGATTGCAATAGATTGTTAAAAATATATCGTGCAGATTTGCCTATGAGTGCAGTGTGTACACACGCGTGCTGATAAGCGATTCAATAGATTTAGAATTGATACAATGATCATATAAATTTAGAAAATAATTATTTATTGTTTTCGTGTACGTAGTTAGTCTTTTAAATACATCACTTTTACAAAGGTGGGATACTAATAATATAATAAATGAGCATAAAACTATAAACAAAGTTTTGCGGTAAAAGGATTTATGTTGCTTGTCTATAAAATTTAAGCATATTTATATTTTTATTTTGAATTTGTGATTACGATTGTTATTCTGTATTATGGTAAAACTATTAAATACAATTAACAACTGCTTTCTTGTCAATTTATACAGACACAATTAAAAACAAATCGAGTGTATATAGAACCTAAGAGCAATAGCTTAATGGACATAATTGTAAATATTGCAAGTATTTTTGGACTTTAAGCAGGAATCGTATTACAAAATACACAACTACTAAAAAAAACGTGGATACTTACATAAATGTGGTTTTATTCTAATGCACCACTTAGGTAATACATAATTAGAATATTTATTCATAATTGACTTACTTACAACTAAAATAAATTCGCATAACAATGAATTAATATAGTTTGGTGGCTCTTCGCAGTACAATCATTTTAAAGAAATCATAACTCAGTAGTTCCATTTTTCTAGGATTTATATATTACATATTCATTACTAAAAAGGTAATTATATAAATATGTAATTACATCAAAAACGTAAACGTAAAAGCCTTAAGCGCAATTTTAAGGCTTTCTTATGTTAAGCTGACTTTTCAAGGATCAATAAATGCAATAAATAATGCTGAAATGGCAAAAGTCCGGCTATGTAGCTTGAAGAACCAATAATCCATGGAGAATAACGGTCCCCGAGTGACAGCCTTGTACCAGTAAGCAAGCTGTAGGGCGGCTCCCTACTAGGTGGAGTGACGACATGATAAGACATGCAGGAAGTCGGTGGATGCATGTGGTTCAGAAACGTGTATTGTGGCATTTTTTGGAACATAAACCTCCCCCTATGTTCAGCATAAGTCATGTGAAAGACTTAAAAAATAAAAACGATAGCACCAATACATAACCTCCAGCAAATTATTATTTAACAGGCAATACTTTATAAAGATTTTTCGATGTATTTCATCGCCTTAAAAGCATCATTTGATATACAGCAATGTGCCAATTGATAACACTGTAAATACCTTATATAGCTCGGATAAACGCGCATCTATTATCTTACCACATTCAAATCTAATTGTTTAACCAATCCCATGACTCATCGTCTTGCTTTTTCTTGATAGTAATGTTTTTTACATCAGGAGGTGGGCTGGACACTCCCACTTGAGACAGATCGCGAGAATCTAAGTTGTTGCGGGCTGCAACAGAATCCTTCCAAGGTTGGGTTTGCTCGTTCCTGTAAAAGAATAAGCAATATTGAGCTTTTATAGCATGAACATTGAATATTGTATACACCAAATTAACTGACAAAATATCGAGAGAACGTGGAAAATACAGAGCACACAAGGGAACGGAGAAAATCTAAATAAAAATAATAAAGGTATTACAAAAAAAGATTACTTAAATGCCCTAATGATGCCGTAAGGTGTAACTGGTCGATTTAATGGTAAACAAATTAAAGTATAATGGAACAAGTACACCACATGTGTTAACCCCAATCACAAATGAAGACGAAGTTTTACAAAGTTCGATCGGTCGATTTTTTTTTTAATTAACTAGCTTTTGGAATACGTCACAATCATGTGAAAATTGACTTCTCCAATTTGCAGCAGTTTAGATTTATAGATGCAAGTAGAGACAAAGCTATACTTGTAGAAAATTATTCAATTCCTTTGTCAAACTTGGCCAGTAAAGGCAATAAATTAAGATTTTCGCCAGTAAATTTTCCTCACTTTGGGAGTCTTTACGAAGCAGATGTGAAATCAGCTAAATTCCATTAAAAAAAGATTGCTGGTAAAGCTCATTTTTTGTGGAACTTTTAAAATTAAATCTCTTGTTCCTATGTCCCCAGATCCAAACTACCTTCATGCCTTAACTAGTAGGCACTTTCGCATAAGAAGACCACTAACGTCACACAACATCGTAACATCCCTTCACAAGTCCAAGCATGGTCCTGAGCCACCTGCATCCATCGAGTTCCTGCATGTCTTACCAGGTCGTCACTCCACCTAGTGGGGGGTCACCCTAAACTTCGCCTACCGGTACGAGGCTGCCACTCGAGAACCTTTTTTCCCCATCGGTTTTCGGTTCTTCGAGTTATATGGCCCGCCCATTGCCACTTCAGCTTACTAATCCGTTGGGCTATGCCGGTTTCATTTCTAAGTTTATCACGCAGATAAACCCCGAAAATAGCCTCTCTATAGCTCGCTGAGAGACCTTGAGCATCCTCATACGGCCAGCAGTGAGGGACCACTTCTCGGATCCATAAGTCATCACTGGCAACACGCAATGGTTGTACAATCTCGTTTTCAAGTTTTGAAATCCGACGAGAAGATCGTGTCGTAATTTCCCGAACGCTGCCCAGCTAGTTTAATCCGTCGATTGACCTCTCGGTCGAAGTTGTAATTACCTAGTCGTACTATTTGTCCTAGGAAAACATACTCGTCAACAACGTCGAACTTAATGTACCCAAGAACTGCCGGCATAGGTGTGACATGGACGTTACACATGACTTTTGTTTTTTCCATGTTCATCTTAAGACCTATCCGTTAGCAGACACTATTAAGGTCATTGAGCATAGTGCTTAGGTTCTCCAGTGATTCTGCCATAACGACTGTATCATCGGCAAATCGGAGGTGAGTGATGTACTCGTCATTGACATTAATATCGTATCCTTTCCAGTACAGAACCTTGAAAACGTCTTCCAATGCAGCGCCGTAGAGTTTCGGGGATATTACATCACCCTGTTTTACGCCGCTCTGCAGTTGGATAGGTTTCGTACTCTGGCTCTGTACTCGGATAACCATCGTAGCCTTACTGTACAAACACTTCAGCACTTCGATATACCGACAGTCAACTTGCCACCGCTGAAGGTACTGCCTGTTGTACCACCCAAATTTCGACGCCTTTTCGAAAACCGACTTGTTCGGGAGACTGGAAGTCGTCGAGTGGCAGACGATTCGTAATGACTCTCGAAAACAGCACGTAGACGCGGCTCAGAAGGGAAACCGGTGTGTAGTTCTTTAAGGGAGCGTTTTCGCCTTTCTTGAATAACAAGACCACCGCACTTCTGCTCCACGATTTCGGAGTAGTGCCACCATGGAGGAGGAGGAATCAAAGAGCTTCTGAAAGACTTTAAGTACAGGTTTTCCACCCGCTTTCAGAAGCTCCGCTGTAATACCATCCTCGCCCAGGGACTTGCCGTTTTTAAGGTGCTGGAGAACCATTCTAGTTCCGCTCAGAGTGACGTCCGGAATATCATCGGAATAGTGTCGGATAAGACTTGCTCTTGAATCTTTTTTTATAATGTACAATACGATTGATTTTGATTTTTGCCGATGCACAACATTAATTCTGAGGTACTGCAGAAGCGAGTAAAGTGGAGTACCCACAGCCCAACATCTAATTCGTCAATTGGTTCTCACTAGAGATGAAAGCAACCCATGACTAAAATGGCCTCATACCCCATTGGACGCATCATAGCCTTTTATCTGGGGTCAAAGTTGCTAACATCATGATGAGCTAAAACAAGATTTGTACCCTCATGGACCTGTCATAACCAGGAGAAAGGTTCTACATTTTAAGGAGGCGGAGATTGTTTGTGCAAAGAAAACAAAATAAACAATATATTGTACGATATAATATATACGATTCCGAACGAGCCACAAAACATTGGTTTTCGAAAGAGCAACTCGCCACCTTTATATATCTATATACCCGGAAGAAAGATCTGCAACACCGCCACCACCACCATTAGCATTCAGAGTTCTGCCGTTCATTGTAGACAGCGTCTAGCGCTTTATTTTGTTCTATTTTATACATTGTTTTATACATGGTATGTACACTCAGCGACGTACTTTTTGTCTGTGTGAAATGAAACAGATCGATGTATGACAACAACGCATACAGCATACTAAAAGTAGATTGTACTAATAGAAAAATTTGCCAGACTTATATAGAAGGCGCGAATAGTACTGTTCGAGTCAAGCCTAATATTTGTGGCTTTGCACACTAACACATTGCGCGTATTACGTAAAACTACTTCCTTTTACTCTCACCAGTTGGAATACGGTTCAGAAGTAGAGTTCTTCATGGCGCCATAGCCCTGGGATTGGTATTGAGTGTTCGAATTACTGGAGCGACGCACCTCACTAGTGCCGCTCAAGGAACTCCACCCTCCACGATTGTTTACCTTAAACAAATTTATAGGTAGGTACACTTTTTATTTCTTTGGCTCAATCCAAATATTTACACGTCTTGAAGTCTATTGCTTTCTTGAATATATATAATACTGATTGAAGCACGATGTGGGAGGACTACTTTTCTGTCCATTTGGATATCAACAACCCTCTTACGTATTTCTTCCGTCAAATAGCAGTGTCTGCACTGCTATGTTTCGGTCTAAAGGGTTTAATAGAGAGGAAATATAATTACAGGCTATGAAGAATTCCATCTTAGTTCTAAGATGTAAAAATTAACTTAAACTGACGTAAAACGGGTTTTTAAGATCGGGGCCTTAATTCTTCTATAGTGTATCTTAGTACTGAACAAACAAAGTTAATTTTTTCCCCTTTTGAGTGGACTAAAGAATATCACAATCTCAATGTCCTCTAAAAAGTTCCACTGAACACTTAATTCCCTATTTTGCCATTCTTAAAAGATGGTTTTATTTTTCTCCAAATTTATATATTCCTTCCAATATTAATAACTTTTACTTTTAGATTTTCATGTATAGCGGAAGTCATTTACGCTCTGAACCTTATGGTTTTCTATAAAAATAAAATAAAAAAATAAGCTCCTTGTGCTGTATGCATCAGATATGCCTTTGCCTTATATTTTGTTGATTTAAATCAAAAACTTATCATTCTATTGTTATCAGGTTCACCCCTGAAATAGTACAAAACCGGTTCACAATTGACGAGGATATTGTGTAACATACATACAAAAAAGAACGTATATATATATATATATATATATATATATATATATATATATATATATATATATATATACCTCAAATATCTGCAGTGGCATTTAATAGGTTGTTACGGTACGGTAACGGTTACAAGTCGCACGTAAGTCTAGCGCTGAACGAAACGTGGAGGGGACGCGCACGAGCCAATCAGCGCGTCTATGCGCAATAAGCCAATCAGCGCGACTAACCGTTATGTTATGCGCAATAACTGTCACCGCTAGACTTTCGCACTGCTACTTATACGACAGTTTCGGTTTGGTTGGGACGAAAGTCAATAATTACGAATTGCAAGCTATAAAGGAAGTCATTCCTTGTCATGCCAAAAGTAACAAAATTTTGATGCATTAACGTCAAAATTAAGAAGCTGTTAGCTTACTGAGGGACAATAGCAATATATACTGAAGGATAACAGTCAAAACAAACTGCTTGTGTCTGTATGGTACTACTGAATCGGCATTGGTCTTTATGTAACATCTTGAGATTGGCCACAAAAGAGTTTTTGTATTTATGAAGCTATATTATAGTAAAAACAAAAAAGGTTATTCTCCATGACTGACAAAGGTGTGTATACCTATTTGAATAGATAATGATGAATCAAGTGATTTGTCATCAGTAGAAGTGGATAATTAATAAATAATTAAGGCTCTTTTATTCTAACTTATTATCGTCAATTATTTTCTATTCTCTTCTCATTATAAATTATCTCAATAAGATATTCAATCCATTTCTTTTATTAAATTAATCACACTACACCTTTAGAATATTTAAACCCCAAAGGTCCCGATAAACAACTATGTGAAAAAGATTTTACCTACCTTCTCTGTAACAGTTGAAGCCATTTCTGAAACTTTTTGTGAAGCGATACCGCCATATTTAACCGCATTTTCTGTCGCAGTGCGCGCCGCCTTGCTTACTGACGAAGTGAAGATAGACCAACCCTGCATTTCAAGGGTATTCTCTATTAAGAATCGTCAGAATATGTATCAAATCATGTCGTAAAATTGGTGTCATAAGAATCCACTTATGGAAATGCAATAACTTGTAGCACCTATATAAGCGTAATACATAAAGAAAATCATCACCACAATAAATAAAAATATAAATAAAAAGGCAATTACATATATAGTTTAGCGAGTTATTAGAGCTAGGTACAATCTATTGTATTCTAATATTGTATCAATATCTTAAATTAAATAATAAATAATTAATTATTCGAGAGTAGAAAAAATGCTGTAAAAATGGGGTCATTTAAGATTATATTAGGGCTTCATCTGAATGACAGGATGAGAAAGTGTGGGATAAGAAAAGTGTGGTTTGCAAGACGATGTTGTGATGAAGGTTCAGAAAGGATGCTTCGGTGGTGGTTTGGTCATGTAGAAAGAATGAATGAGAAAATAGTGACAAAGCAAATTTATGTAACAGAAGTGAACAGTAGTTGGCAAAGGACTCCCTAGATGAAAGTGGTTTTTTTTTATAGGATAAGATGACAAACGAGCACACAGTCCACCTGATGGTAAGTGGTTACTGTGGCCCATAGACATCTACATCTATCCTCGATTAAGAATTAAATGCAGATGTGTTGTCACCCGTGAGTACTAATATGGAATGCCTCTTTTCCAGTAAAAAAGGTATCCGGTTCTCTACACTCACCATACGAAACACATCAGTGTTAGGTTGCTATTTTACACTGGTATTCTGTAAGAGCGTGGTCCTTCCTCGGTCGAGCCGACCCATTCGTGCTACAACTATATTACTAATATAGCTGCAGCATGGCTCTAACACCTATAAAAAAGTGTATCGACTAAATTGGCTATATATTGAAAGATGAGCCAAATTAAGAGTACCCAAATCGACGAGCACAATGCGTAGATGGATGGATGTAAGGAGGCGACAGTGGTGAGTCAGGATTGTGTTAAATGGAAGTCTGTATTCTCTGCTTAACCTTCTAGGTGACAAGCGTGAGTATTTATGTATGTGTGTTATATATAATTTATAATTAATATCAAGTGAAAAAACAAGGCACTTTTTGAAAGGATGAAAGAAAATATTTATCATATTTGTTTTATAAAAAATACTGTCAGTTTAAAAACAAAACATTACCGAAGCTAAAGACGCTAGCGTGTTGTCAACCATCTCATTTCCACTATGTATTGGTGACATAGGAGTTGATTGAGATTGTTTCTGTGAATTTCCAAAGCCGGTGTATCGTCCGCTACCATACTCACTGCTATAAATAGACAAAAAAAATAAGTGACTAAAATTTACTACTGAAATTTTATCTATTGAACAAAAACTTTATCTTATTTAACTTAAGCTAGCAAAATAATAACTTATAACAATTTTATACATACTGGTAACTAATATTGTTCTCTGAACCACTGCTATGAAGAGCATTGTCTCCTGATGAATAAAAATCTCTTGACTGATTCAAATCTGGCGACCTCTCTATAGTTTCTGGTTTATAATCTGAAGGACTCCAAGGGCGGCCTTCGGCTAGAGCTGTTATCTATGTGATAAACAATGTTAAGAAGATTAAAAGTATTTATGCAGATTAAGACTATTTGAACAAAAACCAAAATGCGGTAAAATAAAAATATTTAACTATTGAATCCCCTATACTATGGAAAGAAGAAGGCTCATATCCACAATTGGCTTCTATAGGCTAATGCAGAAGAAGAAAACTTAAGGTATTATATATGGAAAATATTAAGAGATAACTTTGAAAGCATGTTAGAACATACCTAAACAACTTAGTGCATTTAGAGTGAGGGGCAACATATAATGTTGAAAAATTATACTACTACAACTTAGTACATATTCACCACAGTTTAAACAATTCAATATGCAAGGAAAATTCTAAAACATAATGATCGTGAAGGTACTCGGATACCTAGATGTGCATGTATGAAGAAGATAATGAATTTGAAAGAAGCGAAAGAGGTATGTAAGGATCGTGACACTTGGCGATCTGTTCTCTCTGGCTACCCCGTCAGGGATTGTGCGTGAAGATAAATAAAATAAATAAATAAAATCGTGAAGGTAGCCATAAATTAGTATAATTATTAGTAATATTAGTATAATTATAAATAAGAAACTAATCCACATGAGGTTTTCCTTTTAAAACCAAAAAATTTGTATTAACTCCTAGATATATTTAAGAATTTTGTAATTACTTTTCCAAGTCGTATTTAGTTTAAGGCATCAGATTATTTTTAAATATTGTTTTTTTATTTTAATTGTTTTGTTTCCTAAGTGTGCAAGTACTAACTTTAACAGTATTAAGGGAATTCTGATATCCATGTATCTAATTCAAACAACAATTTAACTACAATAGGGAACAATAATTGTAATGTTTTGGGAATTTGTACTAATTCTTTATTAGTTTATTACTATTAATTTATAAAATTTCATTTTTTACATATGGTAAAAAGATGGTTAGACCAACTTCATCGGATACTGTCAGATTGGTCTTCCTCGCGGGACGAAAAAGGGCAATGGATTATTTTACATCACCACCTTTTAAATTAGTACAGTACAGGTTTAACTTGTGTCATCTCATAATTTTTTCAAAGTTTCTTGTTGGCCAACCAGGCTAATCCAACAGAGACTGTAAAAATCAGAAGAACCTGTCCACAATATTTAATTTTACAAGAGCTAAAAAACTGCTACAGTTTGTGTATTTGACCTCTTCAAACTTGAAAGCGTTTTAAATAAATAATAATATATTTTTGTCAATTTAAACACGAATTTTAATTATTTTTTGTATTTAAGATGTAGTTAATAATTATTATTTCCCAAACTTACTAATGATGATGTCATAGAGTTTGCTACCTTTACCAAACACAAAAAAGTAACAATAAAGTCATAAATTGATATTTAACAAAGATGACATTTTTATTGTTTACAATTACATTAACCAAGATGTCTTACCAGGTGGTAAATCCATCTAGTGGGGGGTAGGGGGCGGGGGGAGCTCTCGGGAACCTTTCTTCTCCATCTGTAGTTGGTTCACTTCAACTTACTTCTGTTCATTATCATGCTATCATGCATCATGCTTCTGCTAATTTTAAGTCTATCATGCAATGCTACCTCTAGCATAGCCCTCTCCATAGCTCGCTGAGCTACCTTTAGCTTTGAGTGAAGGACCACGTCTAAAGCCCATAAGTCATTACTGGCAACACTCACTGATTGTACAATATTGTTTTTAAGTTTTGAAGTGAACCTGACGAGAAGATGTGTTGGAATTTGCCGAACGCTGCCCAGTCAAGCTGAATCCGTAGACTGGCCACTCGGTCAAAGTTGGACTTAACTAGTCGGACTATTTGTCTCAGATAAACACACTAGTCAACAACTTAGAGCTTAGTGCTCCCAACAACTACTGGCGTAGGTGTGACATGGACGTTACATATTATGATCTTTGTTTTTAAGACCTATATGTTGTGAGGCACTATCCCCCAGCCATTCTGTCTTAAGGACTATATCGTCGGCAAATCGAAGGTGAGTGATATACTCGCCATTGATATTAATACTGTATCATTTTCAGTCCAGTAGTTTTAAAATGTCTTCCAACCTTGTCTTACACCTCTCTGCAGTTGGATAGGTTTCCTACTCTCGTTCTGTACTCGGACAGACATTGCAGCCTTAATGTACAAATATTTCAGCACTTCGATATACCGACAGTCAATTAGGCACTGCTTAAGGGACTGCAGCACCGCTCTAATTTCAACTGAACCAAAGGCTTTACTGTTTTAAGTAATAAAGTAAATTTAATGTAAGTAATGTTGTATTAATAAGTTTAATTTTTAGTGTAATTTGATATTCACCTATGACAGTTTGCCTTTTATCATGGTACAAAGTTGAATATATTACAGTATTCAACCTCTGTGTTTTATTTAATATTATGGAATATTACAATTGGTTTAAATTAATAATAAAAAAAAATATCATTGTATCGTAGGATACGTGCTTGTCATAAATAATTTTCTTCATCATAGCTCCTTCCCGAAGGTATCACTGGAATACACCGACCGCCTTCAGTTGTTGCGGGTTAAGATATCCTCAAATCTGAACTTGAGGCGCTTCATTGAGTCCAAAGCCAAAGCGGCTGCAAGGAAGCTAGGAGTCCTTTCAAAGGTGCGGCGATACTGGGGCAGTTGCTTACTTTATATAAAGTGCAAGTCCGCTCGTGCATGTAATATTGCTGCCATAATGGGCTGGTGCTGCAAAATGCCACCTAGCAGTTTTGGACTCAATGGAAAGGCGTGCTAAAAGGTTTATTGTTGACCCGAATTTGGTTAAAACCAATCTTACAAGCCTCGAACACAGGCGCAAAGTATCCAGCCTTTCGGTTTTTTATAGGATGCATTTCGGAGTGTGCGCAGGGATTTCATAATTTAATTACTCCCTCTCCCTTCCACCATCAGACAACCAGACGTTCGGCCAGTCTCCATCATTTCGTTGTTGACTTACCACACATTCAAACCAAACAGTTTGCTACATCATACATCATATTTATAGCAAAGAAGTGTAATAAGTTGCCAGCATCTGTGTTTCCAATGTGTGATTACAATGTGGGCGTCTTTAAGGCAAGAGTGAATAGGCTTCTGTTAAGTCAGTGTGCTTCACCATCTTAGGCTACATCATCACTTACCATCAGGTGGGATTGCAGTGAAGCGCTGGCTCAAATTCATAGTTTACTTGAAAAAAAATTAAAAAAAAATTATATCATAAGCTTTTATTCCATTCACCTACACTCAATTTTTTCTTTACCACAAATGAAGAATATAGACAGCTAATATGACTTAATTTGACATATGTATGTCCACTAGTACTTATTCCTACAGTAGTTACATGGTTCAATAAATTTAGTTATTGCATAATAAGGAGCTGGCTTTCGTACAAAAGTAGAAATTGAATTAAATAATTTCTATACAAGTTAGATATATAGGGCATAGATTAAAAAAGACTGACTTGAATTTAAAATACTTAATAATGCACAATAAATACTAAACACAGCATTTTATAAAGATGATTATTAAAATCAACATTTTTTAATTGAATTAAATACAAACTGATTTACCTTTTGTCGATACATAGCTGCTGCCTTCGTATTATATTTTTGTGGTATAGTCATATCTGCTTTGTAATCTGGTTGGCTCTCCAAAAATAAACGAGCATTTGCATTTCCTCCAACCTATGATACGGTTCATGAAGTTATTATTTTATGATTGATTGAATATGTTTATACATAAAATTATTGATTGAATGTGTTTATACATAAAATTAAAATTATGATATAATAGAACCTGTACATTAAATATAAAAATATGTTAAATGTACCATCATTTTCTCAAGTTCGATATCTTTCCATTTATCCATAGTTACTGAGCGCACAAATGAGATGTGCACACCGAGACTTCGATGAACTCCTGAACACTCTAAGCAAATCCATATTCCATATGTAACAGATACCCACTGAGGGTTGAGGGTCCCACATTCAAAGCATTTCTATGAAAAATAAAAGAAAGACAGTAAATATATATCAATGAAGATTTGAGATTACTACAGCTGATTTCTTTTTTCGGACTTACATGATTTTCGTCTTGCGTACGTATAGAATTTAACTTACGACGTGTACGCGGAGAAGCCATGTCACAATCTGAACTTTCGTACAAAGAGTATAAAATGAGAAAGTTTTGCTTTCGCAATATAATATTATTATTCCAATTCAATCTGAACGATTTCACAATAGTTTATTAGTTTATGGACGTTGGTACTTCCTATTAATAAAGGCAGTTCCGTTTATTAGTTTCTGACATTACGAGTTATAATAGCTGTTCTACTTGTGATGTTAAACTGCACCAGTTTATGCAGACTGGATGCGTGGAATAAACTACTATACTCTCGAGAGTTTAAGTAATTTTATATAGAATATTATGAAATACCGTTGAAATTCAGTTGTAGCCCAATAGCCAAACAGAAATAACTTACTATTAACGTATAAATTACAATAACTGATCACTACCTATCATACAATGACTTAAACTTAGTGATTTTTGTTTTTAAACTCTCTGCAAGGACCAAGAAATAAAAGCGGAGAATAAATCTCTTAAGAAGTTATGCATGTCAAATTTTCACGTATTCCATTACCACTTGGCACTTGGCAGTTGCCATATATATTTATCTATGGTTGCCACAAAGTAAGTCATAGACACGAATAAACATAGTAATTTATATAATCTTTGGACATGACCACGTACGCAGAGGAGAATCCTAAAATAAGAACTAAATTTTTGTAGCTGAACCAATTAAACATATGCAGTCTTATTCCAAAAAAATGTTTTAGTACTGGGTTAAGTTTAGGAGTAAGAAGTCCAAGTTTGTTACAATATTCTAGTTAATACCAGCACTAAAACGTGTGCTTATTACAAAACGCAGACTACCCGAGGACCAGTTAATACCAACGTTAGTATTATATTAAATATCATTCACAGATAAAAAACAAAAAATGACACTCTATCATTCGTTCATACAGGTTTCATTCAATGCAACGTTCGGTTTCATAAAATATTAATATTATTTTCACACTTAATTATGCTTAAATAATTATCCATCAATACAAAAACATATCATACATTGTTATTTGTTTACGTTAAAATCTATTGAACAAGCACGACATATACTTTTGACGCGCTTTTGATTATATCAAGTTGTTTTCAGTTTAACAACTCTAGCGTGAAACGTAGTGAATTACAGAGGTAACGCGAGCGCGGGATTCGAGACGTTCAAAATAGTTTATATTGCAGCCTTATAATAAGTAAATTAAATTATTAATAATTAATTAAGTACTTGCTATTACAGTTATATTTATATAATAATGGAACAAAAGAAAAAACGGGGTGAAAATTGGAGTTCTGAAGAAAAAGTTAGTGAAATATCGTAATTTATTTGTCTTATCCTCCTATTATCCTTATTTCAACTAAAAGGAATGTTCTTATTATTATAGGAAATATTACGTTCACTTATTTCACAATCAGCACATATAATAGAGAATAAGTCGACAAAAACATCGGTAAATATTCAAAAAATAAAAGAGTGGAAGAATATAACTAATAAGTAAGTACTTATCGCATTTGTTATGTGTACAAATAGGTACGGTATTGTTTACGTGATTTCGTATTTTTTTTTAGATTTAATGAGATAACAGGTAAACGGCGATCAGATGGTGAATTGACATTATCTTGGAAAAGAATGAAGTTGTGTGCTAAATCAAACTTATACACATATAGGAGGGAACAATCAAAGACCGGGGGTGGCGGAAAACCTCCATCACCTTCTCTTGAGGACTTGGAAATAATGTCCATTGCCCCTCACGATTTTATCGTTGAAGTTAATAATTATGATAGTGATGCAGTGGTAAATAAAATTACTTACATGTCTTACAAATTTAATTAAAATTAAAGAACTTTATTTTCCATTACTTTAGTACCTAGGTAGTGCTCTGAAATCTACTCTTAAAGCATACAATTTACAATCCAAAATTATTTTCCGAATATTCAAAATTTAATATACTTAGTAACAATTTAACATAAATTTCTTTATAATTAATTATATTCAAAATTGAAATGTCACAAATTAATATATAGTGGTCTATATAATATCATAACACACATGTTACTAGATTATCTACACAGTCCGATTATAATTTTCTATTTTTGTCTATTAGGTATTATAATTAATAATTTATTAAATTACCTTTTGTCTTGGATCATAATAATATTTCTACAACATAGAAAATACCTGATTCAATAAAGGGCAAAATAGAGGTGACAGGTGACAGGAAAACATGTTAATAAATGTTTTAATGATTTATTTTAGGATCCAGTGACTGTGGCTACAACATCAAAAGAAGTTGCTGACCCTAAGCCTCGCCTTAATTTTGAAAAAACAGACACAGCTATAGTTAAAAATGTAGAAAATCCAGAACCCAATGTTGTATATGTGCAAGGTAAATAATACTGATTGAATATTTATTAAAAAGCAAAATATATTATTATTATAGTTACAATCATAGGCATACAAGTTTGTAAATATTATAAATGTTAATTTTCTAAAACTATTATATTTATATTAATTTTTAGAGATAGATCCAACTACAGATACAGAAGAAAGTGCCAAAATGGTGAAAATAACCAACAATAAAGATATTATTACTAGGGGTATAACAAAAATTAAAAACAGGAAAAATAGCTTGCAAAATAGGTATGTTGAAAAAATTACATAGTCTGATACATTACATACTTTTTAAAATGTGAAAATTAGTATTTAAACACTGAAAATTGTTTCATGTTTTCAAATATTAAAAGCAAAGTTTAATATGAATTGATTTAAAAATAATTAAAAAATATTTCTTTAATTGGTGTACAAGGTTAAGTGCACTTTTATTACTCTAGAATACTTTGTAAATGTCTAAAATAACTACAAAACTTACATTAAGTATTCCATTTCATTTTACAGAAGAGAAGATGTACACCAAACAATTGTAAAAAGTAACACAGATTTTAAAAAAAGACAACTGGAAATGATGGAAGAGGAACATAAATACAATATTAAAATAGCTAACCTAAAAATTAGAAAATTAGAGTTACAAATATCTTTATTAGAAAGTCAGAAAAACACAAGTTAAATAGCAGCTTAATGCTGCTGTTTATTATGGTGAGTTTATAGAACGAGAATAGAATAGAATGATTTTTATTAAATATAGATTATTACAGAATACTTATTGAAAGACATTTTTTATTTACCACTGGTTCGGAAAATACCTCAGTCCTGGGAAGAACTAGTAAGAAACCCAGTGGGACTTTTTTATAAACATATTTCTCTTAACAATAATTTTATTTGTACAATTTTTAAATGAATTTTAATAGAACCACCATGGTGGCGATCACCTCAATTCCAGTATTTCCAATATTTTCATTTATGTATTCTTTGATATTATAATAACCTTTTTATAAAATTTTTCTTTAATAAAACATTTAAACTTGTTTATTGACAAATTTTGGATAAATTTTTGTACAAATTTTGTATGAGAGAGACCTCTTTTACAGGAAACGAGGCATTCCATCTTACTCCACACGGGTGACAACGCATCTGCATTTTGATTTGTAGTCGAGGATAGATGTGGACGTCTATGCACCACAGCAGTTACTTAACATCAGATGGACTGTGTGTGTGTGTGTGTGTGTGTGTGTGTGTGTGTGTGTGTGTGTGTGGTAGACTGTGTTTATCACCATTATCCTATAAAAAAAAAAAACTAAATATTTGAGACTATATCAGATACATGTTTGTAAATATCCTCATATATGAAACTATTATTTTCAGGTACTTAATTGCTGCAAATATTTGTACATCTTTTATTAATAATTAAAATAAATAATTATAATTAATATGCATTTTATTTACATAACAATGAAATATAATATACAATAGTAAAAAACTATAATAAAAAAAACTAAACCTATTTACTTAGTTATCATACAGTCCTACTCCCCGTGGACCCTTGCACCTCTGGAAAGGAAATCCGGCTGTGAATGTAGAGGAGGGACGATATTTATTAAAAAATCTAAACATATCTCTTCAGCACTTAAATCTTTATATAATATAGCTTCATATTGATGTGGAATGTGCTGTACCCCGCATCTTTCCCTGAAACACAATCATTTATAGCCTAAATAAAAGCATTTTGCTCAATAAATGAAATATTATCACAATACTCCCCTGAATTTATTTCATATTGGTGAATATGTAGTCGTTATTCTTTGACAGCTGACAACGGCTCTGCAGAAATATTTTCCTTTATAAATGGGTATTATGTCTGAAATCAAAAAGAAATATTATTATAATTGTCTTATACATTTATTGATCTTTAATGTAATTTTATAGCCAAAATTGGCCTCTGAATAACAAAATAAAATAAATTATATATACATAGCTTTAGACAATTGAAAAAAATTTGACAATTTTATAAATATAATTATAAATTTTAATTATAAATAGTTATATAAATATGTAAAAAAAATGTTTACCTACTGAAAATGAGTTTCAATAAACTGTCTTCTTCTAATATTTCCCCTTATTGACGGTGTAATATATCTTTGTACTATAGGTTCAGATGAATATTGTTCAATGCTATCTCTCTCACCAGAAAACACATCTTCTCTCATGTCGATGGCCATATTGTGTAGTACAGCACATGCAACAATTGTTTTTTTGCTGTTTCAATATCTCCAAACATACCTCTTAATAGGCAACGAAACCGTTGCTTCCACAAACCAAAACATCTTTCCACTGTGTTTCTGGTACGGATATGGCTCCTATTATATCTTTCTTCTTGTGGTGTTGTGGGGTTCAGCAGCGGTGTAAATAGGTAAGGAGTACAAGGATAGCCACTGTCACCAAGTAATATTCCAGAGAATGCACCAGCCTCAAACCTCTGTTTTAGTCTACATTCTCGGAATATTCTGGAGTCATGTACACTACCACGCCACCTGGTAACAATGTCCATGATTTTCAGGTCAGCATCACAAACCACCTGTAAAATAAGAGCTCATTAGTACTTTATGTTTTTCTGGTTTATTTTAATATATATTTATTACCATAAGATAGTCAAACAAATTATTTTCTATTATGATAAAGTAAAGCTATTAAGAGACAATCACAGCTATTTAAAATATTTGTATATTACCTGTACATTAATTGAAGAAAATCCTTTTCTATTAATATATAACTGACCCCCATCAGCATTCACTTTCTTTACTCGTATGTGAGTACAGTCAATTGCGCCAATTACTGTAGGAAAATTAGCAATACTGCGAAATTTCCTAATGGTTTCCTGTTGTTCATTTAAAGTAGTAGGCATTTTAATAAATTCTCGGGAATTCCGTGACAAAATTTCCGCTACTTTTTTACATGTCCTACTGACTACTGGTTGAGACACACTATGTAAATTAGCTGTATCGTCTTGAATCTACGAATAAAACAATAATATGTATTATTTGGCTTTTTATCTAGCGTAATGTTAGGTACATTGACCCCACCAAGATTATAAACAGCACTTACTTCATGGCGAGCCCAGTTGCGTAATGCACAAACCACTTGAATTTCAGGACTCAATGGGCACCCTCGAGGGTCGTGAACTAAATCCTCACGTACGATACCCACTATTTTTTCTCCGAAACGTTTTGAGAACCTATACTTATACCTAAAATCTTCGTCACTCAATTCAAACGGATTCACACGATATCGATGTCTATCAGGTCGCCGAGTGGTCTCCAGCATGTCCAAATCTTCTAAATCCATCAAGTCAATCATGTTAATATCCATTTTTAACGATTTTAATAACACCAAATGAAAACAACGCTCACCTCAAATTAAGAAGTACCGAAATTGAGGTTAGTATAAAGTACCACAAACTATATAGAAAGGTTAGTACCATAGCTAAACTAGGGGTCTCGAAAGATTAACTTTAATACCATAGATAATCCTTGAACCAGAGATAATCTTCGTTTTGTAATAACGTTTTTCTTAGTTTATGGTTTAAATATATTACTAACTCCAGTACTATATTAAGTCCGTGTTTTGGAATAAGGCGGATGACGTTTAATGTGGTACAAAATAAGATAGCTATATTATCTTCACCTTATTTCTTTTACAAGGATGTTGTCGTTTTTCCATTCCATAGACACCTCTATTGATGTGCTTAAACGTAGTGGTTATATTCTCTTTGGATGTGCTATTCGCGAAACAAAAAACGTTGTCGATAAATTCATTTACTTAGTAAAATTAAGAATTTTTATGAGTTCGGTTCATATTACAATAATTGAATTGGCCATCGCATGAAAACACAATGTATCTCTCAAGTAATACATATTATATTAAATTAGATTGTTTAGTGCAATTGCCAAGTCAATTTATTTATTTAAAACATAAAAGATTTTTAATATTGATATGGTCACTGTATTTAAGACGTTGTTAGGTTGGCTAAATACGTAATAACTTAAGACAGAAGGACCCTTAAGTAGGTACTGTATAAATTAACCGACTTAGTATTTATTACATTGATCTCACAACTTTTTACGGTAGAAGAACTGAGTTGCGAGGCTTGGTTTTTTTACATGTTATGTTTTTGATGGTATCTCATTTCTTTTTGTAGATAACTATATCTAGGTACCTATCTACACCTATTATTCCATTATATTATACATATATAGGTAAACTGATTCATTCACTGCAAATGTAACTTTGTAATCCTATATATTTATATGGGATTACAAAGTTATTTATGCAGTTAGTGTATCTCGAAAACTGGACCGAAATTGCAAAATGTTTTAAGTTTTCTTTGATTCATATACTAAACAATAATTGTATTCCAAATTTGAAGCTTATATTTCTGCTAGAAGTGCCTTAGAGTTTTAACGACCGGTCAGTCAGTGAGCGACAAAATTAAGAAACTTTGACTAGTTATAATTCTTAAACTACTTGTTACGGCCTACGGCTGCTCCCTTAAAGGATCCAATCCTCAGGGGCCCATGAGCTGAAGATTTCCCGAACAGACGTAGGTCGGGCCCCAATGTGGCCACGTGGAATCTCTCCAATTACACTAAAATATATGGGGGAGCGCTATACTACGGCCAGTCGACCGGAAGGAATTTGGACGAAGCTTACTTACCTATATCCAAGGCGACTGGTCCCTCCGGAGTCGGTCAGATCGCATGTGGTTGTGTAGTGCAAGGGAAAGAATGGTGATGTGGTGTGTATCTGGGTGTGACTGATGGTGATTGAACCTAGACCTTGGCCGTCGGCAGCAGCCCGAGCGTCGACACCGCTCCAACTTGAGGGGGCCTTTCGAGGTTGTCCACAGTCACTTTCTTCTTTCGTCACGTTGACAGTCAATTAACTCTATCGTACGATTTACTAACTTACAGGAGCCACTAACTATCGCGGGTTATAAGGTTAACACACAAAACGCACACGGAGTTTACAGTTTATTAAAGGTCACTACCGTTTCGCGTCGCCAGAGTTAGTTCTAGAATACAGAGGCCGCACTAGCTAATATTGTCGAATGCACTTATACAGATTCTAAGTCGGACCCAATAAGTCCAGGGAAGCTCTTCAGCAGGAATGCTCGTCACAAAATCCTAGACCGTATATTTACGGGCCGCACCTAATTATTCCGAGTTCCCTAACAGAATTGACCGCGTGCTCACGTCAGCACCGCTTACAGACGATTGCCCTTGGGCGTTTTACGCACGACCGAATGTCAAACCGGTATGACACTGAGCCGCACGCCCTCTCGCGTTCGTTCCTTGAAAGTGTTTGGCGCGAACACTACTTATTCAAATCTAATAGAATTTGAAATATACCGAGTTTTTACAATGCCTACTTGGTGACTGAAAATTTAGGATTCTAGTTTTATCCACAACGAAGTTATAAGATTTCGAAAATGGTCTGAACTGCTTCGAGAAAAGGATGCTATGGCCGTGCCGCTTTTTTGCTCGACTTGGCGGGGGCACTGCCGTGTCCCGAGATCCGTATTGTAGTAATATTATATGTTACGCTACTTTTCGAGACATGACGTCTAGTGTTTAGGGCGAGACCAAAATTAAAATACATAAGTGTGCGTGTAATGTGCATTTGTGGTGACAAGCACTGCTGCACCATGCATTGTCTGCCTCAACTTCAATTATCGATACCGATTACAGTATATTCGAGTTTTCTGATTTGACGCAGATGCTGTAAGTCAATATTTTTATCCAACTATGGTGAAGCCAAAAGGATAGTTACAATTTTAGAAGGCTATGTATATATATATATGTTCATCTGTCCCGTAGGATCTTCTAAACTACTCATTGTATTTTAATAAATTACATACACATACATACATAAATACATAAACACTCACGCCTGTCACCCAGAGGGGTAGGCAGAGACTACGGACTTCCATTTGGCGCGATCCTGACACACCTCTCTCGCCTCTTTCACATCCATATATCTACGCATACACGCTCGTCGGTTAAGGGTACTCCTAATCTGGCCCATTTTCAATGTATCGCCGATCTGGTCGATAAACCTTCGTCTAGGGCGTCCCTTCCCGACCCTGCCGTTCACTTCTGCAACATAAATTTGCTTTGTCACTCTTTCCTCGTTCATTCTTTCTACGTGACCAAACCATGTATACCGCTTACTGGTCTGGAGTAGACGAGACCGAGCGGGCATGCCAGGGAGTCGGTGTCATCCTTTCAGAAAGAATGGGTCAATGTGTGAAAGAGTATGAATGTGTTAGCCCAAGGCTGCTGTGGATACGAATGAAAGTGGGCTTAAAGAAGTTGTTTGTGCTAGGGGTGTACGCCCCAGATATGTCTAAGCCCACTTATATCCGAGAGCAGTTTTGGGACATGGTAAGGCTGGTGTTGATGAAATGTAAGGAAAATGAAAATATTATTATGTTAGGAGATTTTAATGGAAGGGTGGGGGTGAAGAGGTCTGGTTATGAAAGGATATTAGGAACGTTTGGCGATGAAAGAATAAATGAGAATGGTGAAGACCTCCTCACCGTATGTGTGGAAAAGAATCTTTTTGTGGCGAACACTTTCTTTCGCCATAAGAGGATTCACATGTATACATGGGAAAGAGGGGATGATAGAAGCATGATAGATTTTATAATTGTGGATGAAAGAATGAGGAGCGCAGTGGTAGATACAAGGGTTTACCGGGGGTCCAACGTAGGGACGGATCATTACTTGGTCTTATGCCGAATTAATGGTCTATTCAGACGTTGGCGGCATCGGACATCGGTGTCTACCACTGCGTTACAGCGTATAAGAATAGAGAGGTTACAAGATGAAGGTGTGAAAGAGAAGTATAAATGCAGACTGAGGGAAAATATAAGTGGGTTGAATGAATTATGTATGAATGATTTAGAATTGAAGAATGTATGGAATAATATTAAGAGAGTTCTGGTGGATGCAGCCACCGAAGTATGCGGTGTAAGTAAGAGAACGAATGAAAGGAAAAGTAATACGTTGTGGTGGGATGATGAGGTACGGATGGAAGTTGAAGCAAAGAAGAGAGCATGGCTAGATTTTCTAGCAACTAAAGCTGGTAATTCTGGCGGTATGAATGATGAGATTGAAAGAAAAAAGGCAAACTTTAGACGTATAAATAAGAGAGTAAAAGAAGTTGTTGAAAGGAAAAAGCAAGAAAGGATAGATAAAAATGATAGAAGGATATCTGATAACTTCCAGGAAAATATTAAAATGTTCTGGAAGCTCGTAAGAACTGCCAGGGGAATTTCAAAACAGCCTAGAATGAATGCTATACGAGACGAGAATGGCTGCATGCTGAATGATGAAGTTTCGAATTTAAAGAGATGGAAGGAATACTTTGAAAGCGTGTTTAAGAGTGAAGAGTCGTCTGAAATAAGTGAAATAGAAATTCCGGAAGAAGTGGAGAGAGGTAGGGAGATAAGTGTAGATGAAATAATGAAAGCAATGAAAAGCATGAAAGCAGGTAAGGCAGCCGGATATGATAGAGTATCACTCGAAATGCTAAGGGCTGGTGAGGGTGTGGTTGCAGGCCTGCTGCACACCTTGTTTAATTTATGTTGGGAACTGAAACGGGTACCGGAAGACTGGTGCAAAGCCGTTATAGTCCCAATATATAAGGGAAAGGGGTCGCAGCAGGACTGTAAAAACTACCGTGGTATCAGCTTGCTTAGCATTGTGGGTAAACTGTATGCTAAGGTGTTAATTGAAAGAGTTATGGAAGAAACTGATGGAAAAATTTGAGATGTGCAAGCTGGATTTAGAAAGGGGATGGGGTGTACGGATCAAGTCTTTTCCATGCGCATGATAGCGGAGAAGTTTTTGGCTAAAAACCAGAAAGTTTTTTGTGCGTTCTTGGACTTGGAAAAGGCTTATGACAGAGTGGACAGGAACGTGTTATGGCAAACACTGAAATCATTTGGGTTGAGCGCTGGCTTGATACAGGCATTAAGGTCTCTTTATAGGGACTCTAGTGCTTGTGTCAGGATCAACGGGGTCTACTCGGACTGGTTTGGCATTCATAAAGGTGTCAGACAGGGATGTGTGGCTTCCCCGTGGCTGTTTAACCTATTTATGGACAGTTGTTTGCAAACTTTGAAAGTTGAAGAATGTGGGTTGAGAATGGGTGAGTCAACCGTCAAATGCCTTTTGTACGCCGATGATCAAGTCATATTTGCATCGTCGGCGGCCGAGTTGCAAATGATGGTTACTTTAATGAATTGTTCATTGAAAGAAAGGGGTATGAAAGTGAACGCAAGTAAGACGAAAGTGATGGTTTTTGAAAGAGAAGAAAGTAAAACTTTATGTAAAATAAGAATAGAAGGGGAGTTGATTGAGCAAGTGGATGAGTTTGT